TTTAACATTAGAAAACAAAAATAACATTTATTCTGTAACAAAAAATTTATATACAAGGACATTTAATATGAAACGGAGAGAGTATTAAGTAGTAGAATATAAATACTTGTAAGTATAAGACAAATAATAAGTATATTTTTTTGTTACTCGGAATAAATCTATTACGTGTCTATACAAAAAAAATTTATTGTTATGAAAAGTAAAAATACTATTATAGAGTTTCATGTTTTTAATCATTTTTGTCTTTCTAATATATACAAAAAGTGAAATAGAATGCTTTCTGTATTTCTATAGTATAATAAATAAATTAAAATTTCATATGATTTTTTAAATAGAGTATTATTTAGTACATAATTTTATTATTGGAAAATATTTACAAGTTCTAACTCACAAATATTCGCATGATAACAAATAATAGATTGAGACAAATAACTTATTTTAAAAAAGTGTTCAAAATAACAAATATTCATTTCTATAAATTTAAATAACAAATTCAAATTCAAATTCAAATTCATATTACTCGTACAAGATAAATCAAGTAGCAATTATACTGAAAATAGCAAATATCTGGTTTTTGTCAGGCCGTAATTGTTTTATGGCAGTAATTGTGTTTGCTGTTGAAAGCAAAAGTTTTTTTGAGTTTATTGTTTTGTTTTGGTGTTTTAAATTTTTACTTTTGGTCTGAATTTGGGTCATTTTTTGCATATGTATTTCGATTTTGGTTCATTAATTTAATTATTTAACTACTCTAATAGCAATAACAGTAATTTCTAATTTTATTTTAGATTTAAATAAAGTTATCTTAATAGCCTCTAGTATTTCGTTAAAGATATTTGTTTTCATTTTTTTTTGGGTTCGGACTTTATTTGCATCCAAATAGATAACCAGTTCTAAACTAGTTTCAATAAAAATGCGTTAAAAAGAAGGCTACTATGAAATTTCACTCGAGACTGGTGAGTCAGGTGGTTAGCCACACAAAGGAAAAATATAATATGGTTAGTCAGGCTACTATGAATTCCCAAATATAATATGTTTTTTCTTTTTGTTAAACTTTTTCTTTATGAATCTAAAACACTATTTATACAGAAATAGTGGAACAGATATCAATTATTGTGTGAAGTGGGAAGAATCTATGCGTAGGATAACTAGAAATAACGAGCGTCAAGACAATCCGAATTAAAACGTTCCTTAGGATGTAAACGGGAATTCGGCCCAAAAAAACACGAACTTTGCACAAATTGCCAAAAGAAACCTGTACTCGACCCTGGCCAAAATAATACTATACTTTTGTTGACTTTTTAATTTTATTAAGAAACTTTTGATTGACTGGCCAATTTAACACACCGTTAATTCGCAGTTTAGACAGCGTTAAATTGCCGTTAAATCATGCCATTAAGTGAAACGATGTCGTTTTCAAATAGGATGAAACGACGTCGTTTTACATGATTCAAAAATAAAAAAACGTAGACCCCTGGATTTGAACCCAGATTGGCTAAGTCAAATGACAAGGTATTTTGCCACTGGGCTAGTGATACTTTCATTGTATTCACTAACATATTTTGTTTTATTGAGTACTAATTGAATATAAAATATCTCTAATAAACTTAAAAATACCTTTAAAATTTCAAAAAAATTGAAAAAGAAAGATTATTTTATAAAGTTAATTTTGAAATTAAAATTAAAAACAAAATTTCATTTTTTTTTTATTTTTAAACAATTAAAAATCTTCCAAAATTTTCAAGAAAGTTTAATTTTAAATTAAATTATAAATAATTTTTATTTTTATACTAAAAATGAAAAAACTCGAAAATTTTAAAACAAATCCAAAAAATTTAAAAATTCAAAGAAAAAGCAAGCAAATTAAAGTTACAATTATCAGCTTAAAATTAAAATCGCACTCATAATGGGTACAATAATTATTTTAACCATTTTCATTTTAAATGAAAATTTTTGAAGTTTTTGATTTTTTTAAAGAAAAATGAAATTTTATTTTAAATTTTAATTTCAAAATTAATTTTATAAAAAAAATAATCTTTATTTTTCATTTTTTTGTAATTTAAAGGTATTTTTAAGGCTTTTAGAGATTTTTTTTTTCAATAAGTACTCAATAAAACTAAATATGTTAGTGAATACATTGAAGTAATTCTATCCCAGTGGTAAAGTACCATGTCATTTGATCCTATTAACACTGGTTCGATTCTAGGTGTCTACGCCTTTTTATTTTCATTTAACTCGGATGAGAGAATGTTAAAAACAACTATGTTCGTTAATGTACTGTAAAGTCTAGTAGCCCAGCGGTAAAGCCTCTACCATAATCTCTAAGTTCACAAGTTCGAATCCCTTGGAGCACGTTTTCACATTTTATTTTTAAAAGCAAAAACACATAAAACGACGTCGTTTCATCATAACGCCCAAATTTAACGTCGTCAAAAAAATCCGTTAACTTTGTTAACGGTGTGTCAAATTGGTCAGTCAATCAAAAGTTTCTTAATAAAATTAAAAAGTCAACAAAAGTATAGTGTTTTTTTGGCCAGCCCATATGTACAGATTTCTTTTGGCAATTCGTGCAAAGTTCGTGCTTTTTTTGGTCGAATTCCCGGATGTAAACTGTACATTCGATACGAGTACTACAAAGCAAACGTGGATACGTCTACTAGGCAAGAAAAGGAAAAGATTTATTTTACGTATAATTGCCACTGTGTCTAAAGTTCGCCACTTGTAACGCAAAGAGCTTTTATACATTACCTCCAATGCGCTTATGACGCCCATACGCCTCAAGAAGCCTGACGTAATGAAAATGATTTTACTTTTTATTTCCGTTTTCCCACCAATCATTTGTTTAAGCTTTCATTTCAAACTATAACCGTAAAAGAAATCGTATATTTTAGTTTCAAATACTGAATAATGCTAGTTTTGAGTTAATGTTTTTTTTTACTGAAAGTTTTGAGTTAATGTTTTTTTACTGAAAGTTTTGAGTTAATGTTTGATAGATTCAAATACAAAGTGAACTGGCTTCTCCAAAAATTTAGAGGATTTCTTATTTCTGAACAAATCACTTAGCTCGTAATACTAGGTTTGTTTAGTTTCATTTAATAATGATTTTTCTCCTATTTTGGGTGTCATTTTGGATGTTTGACTTCAATTTTAGCTGAAAACAGAATAGACAATAAATTCTTGAATATGTCTAATTAAAGAAAACATGATTATGTATTTCAATGTTACGGACAAAGTTGTGAAACGGCTTACTGAGAAACATGAATATCAGGATTAAAAGGAGCTAAAAGTAAAAACGGCATAATGCTTTGACATAGTGTCACGTGAAATTTTGTTTGGTAACGTAGGTTTAGTGAACTTTGTAAAATTCAGTGTCACCAGATTTTCGTAATATTTTAATCATAAGAGGCTAATGGAAAATATAGAATTATAGTTATATATATATATATATATATATATATATATATATATATATATATATATATATGTATATATACATATATATTATATCAGCTGTACACTAATCCATAGGAGTTATAATTAAACGCACATAAAGCTTGAAATATAATGTAATGAAAAATTTCATAAAAACACTCCAACTTAATTTTATTAAGCATTTTAATACTCAAATTTTTTTGCTGTCTAGTTTAATACCCCAACTAAAATTTTTTTTTCCTTTATTTTAATACAAAAACTTTTAAAATTGTACTACTTCTAATACTTAAACTTTGTTTGTTTTAATAAATTATTAATAATTTTCAAACAAAATAAGAATAAAATCTCTAAAATCTCAAAAAAATATTAAAAAATTTTGCATTTTATTTTCATAGATAGGACAGAAAGTAAATAAATTAGGGAGAAAATTGTAAATTTTTAATTTTGATTGAAAAATAAATAAATTTGTTTTCTATTTCAGAAAATAAATTAAACTCAATGTTTAACACTTAGAAAATTATTGTAAAATTTAAGATTAGACATAGTTTATTTACTTCTATTTCCCAAACTTAAAATAAAATGAAAAGTTTCTAAATTTCGTTTGAAACTAGTTAGTATTTATAATTAAAATAAATAAACTTTGAGTATTAATATATGTATAGTTTTAAGAGTTTGTACATTGAAATGAGAAAAATAATTAGTTAGAATATCAAATTAGGTAAGGAAAAATTTTGGATATTAAAATGTTTAATGAAATTAAATTGGGGTATTTTTATGGAGTTTTTCTTAATGCCAATTTTTATTTGTAAAGTATATAATCGCTTCGTTCGGTTTTGATCATTTGTAATTACTAAGGTAGTTTTGATTATTGAATCACGTAAGCATAACTGTAAGCAAAAATGTATATAATAAAATGATATAATCATTAAAAAACCGGAAAATACCGTACGGTATAAAATATTTATTATGTCTTCTAAATAAATAAGAAAATAGGTCAAAACCACATAATCATAAAAATTTGGTCGTGTTCTCGAGTTTTCCAATCAGAACTATATATGTTGCGTATATATGGATGCATAGGTAGAATCTAGACATGATCCTTAAAAAGAGCAGTGCCTAAACTGAGATTGACAAGCATTAGTAATATAACTAATCAAGTATTTATCTCTAGACAGAAAACCCAAATTAAAACGATTATTTGGTATGGATGTTATTTTTCTCACGTCAACATGTATACAATTTGGTAATGGATTAACGCGTGAATTATTGTTATATGTGCCTATAATACATTTCTTCTTGAAATACAACTATAGTGACACTAATGCTTTCTAAGATACTTTTTCTAAAATTATTCAAAATATTATTGTTCACACAAACATTTCACTTTTTTCCATCTCTCCTACACAAACCCATTCCTCCCTTTGGTCCTAACCCTCTATATATACCCGAAGTCCTCGAAATGCAAAGTTCGTGCCATCAGCTTTTATATTAAGAACACTTACAAATCTAAGTGCGATCTCTCTTCTTCTTCCTACTAAAAACCCTAAACAGTTTATTTCAACCAAAAAAACATGCCTCTCTTCGACACTCACAACACATGGGCCTTTGTCTTTGGTTTGATGGGTATGATGCTAACTGTTGTGTTCATTTCGTATAGCATGATTATCTAGAAGTTATAAAATCCTAACCGATTTAGTATTAGATTTATTAATACCATTTTTGTTATTTTCTTTTGTACTTTTCAGGAAATGTCATCTCCTTCGCCGTGTTCCTCTCTCCTGTGTACGTTCTATCACATATTAACACAATACTTATCTTTGTGTTATCACTTGTTAATTCATTTTTCTGTGTACATCAAACGTATCCGCTTTAATGAGATTATATGAAATGGATGCGCAGGCCAACGTTCTATAGGGTTTGGAAGAAGAAGACAACCGAAGGGTTTCAGTCTCTTCCATACGTTGTGGCGCTCTTCAGTGCAACACTTTGGCTTTACTACGCAACACAGAAGAAAGATGTCTTCCTCCTCGTCACCATAAACGCTTTTGGATGTTTCATAGAAACTATCTACATCTCTATCTTCCTTGCTTTCGCCCCCAAAAAAGCCAGGGTACCTAACCAGCCTAAATTCGTATATGAATATGTGGTTACAAAATCTAATCAATCCTCTTAATATAATAATTATTACTGGATGCAGATGTTGACAGTGAAGTTGCTTCTTCTTATGAACTTTGGAGGATTCTGTCTGATTCTTCTTCTATGCCAATTCTTGGCTAAAGGAACTACACGTGCCAAGATCATTGGAGGAATATGTGTCGGATTCTCTGTTTGTGTTTTCGCTGCTCCTCTAAGCATAATCGTAAGTACTTTGAGAGAGCTGATTAAGTATATAAAGAGGTGATTAATTAATATATAGTTTCAATAATTAACATATTTCATAATTTAAAACACAGAGGACGGTGATAAAGACAAGGAGTGTGGAGTACATGCCCTTTAGCTTATCCTTAACCCTTACAATCAGTGCTGTCGTATGGCTTCTTTATGGTCTTGCTCTCAAGGACATCTATGTTGCTGTAAGCCATTCCTTCTATCTATGGTCATGTATTTATATACTAATTTGTACATATTGCATGTATACATATTTGCATAGATCCATGTTTGTTACCGTCTAGATACACGTAGAAACACACATACTCAATTCAGATATTTACTGACCACCTTAATCCCTATAGCAGATCACATATATATACTGAAAGGAAAAACTCAATAATTCTTAACTTTTTGGCGATAAAAAGTGAATATATATGTTTTAACATTATTATCATGACGACGTACCGTAATCATAATCTATATTACATGAAAGTGGGTGCTTTTGTTTCTAATGTACCTGAGACTTTGAGGTTCTAATCATAGATTCATTGATGAAAAGAGATACGGATTGGCAAAAGATACACAATTACAGAAAGCAAAACCCTTTTGTTTGGTATTGTCCTTTATGATTAAAAATGATAAGACATATTATAAAGAGACTCTTTTATATTCCAAAGTAACATTAAAGAGTTTTGCTTTTTGAATTTTTTTTAATATATATAGTAGAGTTGTTTTATCTTTATTGTTACATAGAAATTATATTTTGTACGTAACTACCATCGGTGCCGCACAAGTTTGCCATAAACTTTACTTTTGTAATAAGCTTATTTTTACGTACTTTATTCATAAGTTACAAAGTGGAAAAGTGTGTGTATTATTAAATCATTATCATGGTATTGCCATTAAACAATTTTTTGGTATTTGTCTTTTTGCAGTTCCCTAATGTGATTGGTTTTGCTCTCGGTGCACTTCAAATGATACTCTACGTGGTCTACAAATATTGTAAAACGCCGCCGCAATTGGGAGAGAAAGAAGTGGAAGCTGCTAAGTTACCGGAGGTGACCCTCGACATGCTGAAGCTAGGCACAGTGTCATCCCCTGAGCCAATCCCAGTCGTTCGTCAAACGAACAAGTGTACCTGCGGAAATGATCGGAGGGCTGAGACTGAAGATGGTCAAAACGGCAAGCAGTCCTCTTCCACAACAGTTTGAACACGAATAAAAAATCTCGTTGACGACTATGCAATGTTGATTCTTACCCCAACTTGATATACCAACCACCACCACGTGTACCCGTTACGCTGTCTTATTTTTCTGAGTTTTATCAAGTGTGCGAAGTAAAGAAATAATTTCCCGGGATAACATATATGCATTTCCGAATGTTATTTATGTAATTTTGGGATTAAATTTCTCCACTTCTTTTTAAATATTTATGTAAGTATCTATTTGGGGATATGTATATTTCCTATTTTCCGATTTAATCATAAATATCTATCTTGATTGCCTCTCCTTTTGTTCTAGTTCATAATGACATGTTGGCTGATTATTTCAAGTAGTATCGTTATATTTGAAATGCTACTTTGTGGGATACATTTGTTTGGAATGCATCAATTTATATCAGTCCATAAAATATTATACCAGTTATCATGAATGATTGAAAACAGTTTCACCTATTCTATTTTTAGAATGAAACAAAAACAAAATCATGGATGTGGAAAAAGATTTTGAAATGCTACAGTTGGACTATGCAGAGGGAAACATGACACTTTCAAACCCAAGTTCACAACAAAATATACTCGGAACCTCACAAAAACAGCTATCAACAAGTTTGTGAAATCTAGTCGATGTATTTTATGGAATTTCCTTTCTTTAATTGATTAATTTCTTGAAATACATAAAACTATAAAGCGACACAATAAACAGACTTGTATATATAATAATTAGGCATCATTTTTTTCTTGTTATTATTAAGCATTTCATTTTTCCTATATGTAGACATCTTTTTTTATTATAACTGTATATAAATAATTTGTTTAAACAATCATTATTTGGTTATAAACTTTCTTATAAACTTTCTTATAGTATCCCTTTTAAATTTTCATAAGTTCTTCAAATATCTTCATAGCCGGAGAAGGAAGTCCAAGGAACACATTGATACTCTTCGTATCGTTGAGACCTGGCAAAAACAAAATAACTTCTTTCCCCGGTAAACCAACCGGTCCAGAGAAAACCGGTTTGCCCCAGCCGAAATCCAATTTATGCAGTGTCAATCTCGACCATGACGTGATGAGAAGTGTGGCTGTCAAACTCGGCTGGGTCCGGTTCATCTCCAAGTAATCAATCGCTGATCTCATGAAACCGTCAGTAACTAACTCGACCACTTTCTTAACCAGACCAACCGAATGAGAAAGAGGATTCCCAACCAATTCTTCCGATGAAGTCACCGAACCGGTTAACACAATCCCATTCCCGCAATATCCAACCGGGATAGGTGGGATGAATCTTGACCGTCCATCAGCAGCAAAGAGAAGCTTAACCCGTTGGTCCGGTTTAAACCTTAGCGCCTCACACCTTGATTTCCAAAGAAATCCGGTTAAGGCTTGAAATGTTGTAACCTTATTGTTACCATTAATATTTTCTTCAGTTGCCATGTTCTTGAGCTTCTCTAGCTTTCCGGATTCAAAGAGAAATGATTTGTAGACAAGTTTTTCTTCATCGTAGAGTTTACTGATGCCAGAAATATCTTCGATTTCATTGAACTCATTGTGTGGGAACTCGATTTTTGGCGGGTGTCGTGGCCGGAGAATGGTACGGTCCAAGAAAGGTGGGACAGTTAAGGGGATGCCCTTGGCCGTCTCACACCACGAGTTGAGAAATTCCGAAGCAGCGAGTCCATCAAACAAGTTGTGGCTCATGCCTAGTCCTAGGACAAAACCGCCGCATTTGAAATATGTCACCTGATACATTAATTTAACGGAACAAAAATCTATATTAAAGTTTTTTATATTGATTTATTTCATTCAACATTTTAGTATCAATAATAAACAAAAAAATAGGGTGGTAACGAAATAATATACAGCTAGGTAGCTAACATTTTTTTTTTGGTCACTGTCTAGGTAGCTAACATATATTAGGGATTAAAGTCCCACATCGGTTGTTGGAAGGGATCTCTAGCAATATATAAGATAGATGGGTCACTCTACTTATCACCAATTGGTTTTAAGTTGAAAGGCCATCTAGCTTAATATGGTATCAGAGCCCACGATCCATGCAACCCAACCCGATCCTTATCGATCCAGCCCAAAGTCGGTCCATCGATCCTTGCCCGAACATTCCGAGATTGACGCCAAAGAGCCATCATCTCGAGGGGGCGTATTAGGGACTAAAGTCCCACATCGGTTGTTGGAAAGGATCTCTAGCAATATATAAGATAGATGAGTCACTCCACTTATCACCAATTGGTTTTAAGTTGGAAGCCCATCTAGCTTAATAACATATTCCCAGCTTTGTTTAGTTAACTAGTACGTCAGATTCTAAGAACATAATGAAACTTGACTACGTGAGCACTCTAATTAATCCTAGCATAATTATACTTAATGGGTAATATAATAAACGTTCAAGCATGGCTGCATGGGTTCGTTTGTTACTATTTTCATGTATTTTCCATTAGAGTAAGTAGACATATCTAGAGGTATATCCGTATATGTTGTGATATTAAAATAGAACTGAAACATTTCGAGAGCTGATTTTCAAAAAAAAACAAAATTTAATTGTGTTACACCTTGTTATCATTTAATGTAATTTATACTCAAATCGCATTATTTATTTATTTTTGGACAAAACATTAAATAGGATGACTGATACTCGAAAGGCTCAACTTAAATACGATCATTGATTGATACTATCAAATGACTAAAGTAAGAAAAACATCCTCAACATTAAATAGGATTATTAACTGCTAGCTGCTCTGATGGCTGCCTATAAACATGTCCATGTCATTGTAAATACGATGATAAATGCCTCGAACCAGCAACATCCTCTGGCAAAACTTAAATAATTGCAATTTATGGAAAAAGAAGGAGCAAGAATTAAAGCAAGATTAAAATAAAATCAAAATACACAAGAATTTAGCCAAAAAATAAATTAAAGCAAGAGATTGATAAAAATCTTACTTGAATTATCACCGGCGGAATCTCAAGAATATTCCGGGCATCAGGAAGGTCGTAAACAAATTTCTCGATTATCTCCATTCTATTCTCATAGATAGCCTCTTGGATCATATCTATCTCACAATTAGTCTCAGCTTCCACCAACACTACTCCTTCACCGGTGCAGTTCACGGCGATCTTCCCTTCCGGGCTGATCGTTAGCCGTCCAGCCACAGGGTAGTAATGAACAAGAACCTCAGAGAGAGACTTCTTTATCACACTATAGGCTTCTTGGTTGGTTCTTGACTTCGATTTGAAGTAATATAACGTTTTGACCATCACGGCAATGTTTTGATCAAGATTTGAGAGATAGTAAAGTCCCTTTGGAGTTTCTGACTTGGGAGCGACGAGTACAGGGGTTTTCGTTGTCACGACGAACTGCGACGAGTCGCCCATTTCAAGGGTTTTCGATGAACACACGAAAAACGTGTAGTTGGAAGTTTTTGAATCCAATGGAGAAAGCAGGAAAAGAAAGAGACAAGAAATAAAAAGTTAAGAACCAAGACAGATGTTGATATAGAGCATGCCCATTATAGGTTTTTAGGTGGAGTTCACACAATTTTCGAGGAGAAAAGTGGTGAACCTGGATCGTCACGGATTCGCCACGTGTCAAGCCGTGATTCACCAAATTTTTTTTTTTTTTTTTGAAAAAGTAAAAAAAAAAATTAAAATTTCGCCTAAGAATTCCTGCATGCCCAGTATCACTGATGGGCATGGGTTTAAATAGACTTTAGGGTTTATATATAGATCTTGTTTAACAAGTGAAGATTGTATAGCTAAATAGATGAGGAAAATAAAGGCTCAACATAAGGGTCACTAAAGCTCTGACGACATAAATACATTTTGCATACTGTACACGGTTGATTGAATTTATTGAGTCTAATTGGATTAGACCATGTACATCAATGGATTGGGGGATGGGGTTCATAGGTGTAATTTTTTATATTATTTTTTTGTTTACTTTTTCTTAAAAAAAAAAAAAAATACAATCAATCAATAGCGGGCCGCCACGTGGTGTGGGGCCCGCTGAATAGTCATGAAACAGGTTCAGAACGGAGGAGTGGTGAGAGGCGAGTTCATAGGTTGTGAATATTATAATACTTATTTTTTTTTTGGGATATATGTGAACCTTACCTTTGATACTTCAATGTACATGCCCTTAGTTGACCGATAAAATGGATTCAACTACGTGTACACACTTTTCTTTATGAAAACTACGTGTAAACCATTTTCTTTTTGAGAACTACGTGTAAACGCCCATGCAAACACAATTCTTTTTTACATTTTAAGGTGTTAAAATGAGTAAAAAAGGTTTCAAACATTTAATTATTTTGCTGTATCTAAAATCTATAAACAAACTCTTATCTATATTTGTTTTCAAAAAAAAAAAAAAACTCTTATCTATATTAATAAAGAAAAACAATCTCTCATCACAATAGGCTACATCATCACATCTTCACCTTCAGACTTCCATGTCTCCATCAATTTTTGGGTAAGTAAAGATATGTTTGTGAAAAACTTTGTGTGGCTTATGTGTCTTCAAATCCTCTTCTGTATTTTCTACGTTACTAGCATTCAGTATATATACAGACTTAGAGAAACAAACTTTCCATATTTCTGTTTCCAATTTTTTCGTAGTTAACAGTATTGCAAACGCACACATCAGGAATAGCGAATTTCAAAGTTTTTTCTGAGTGAGTTGAAGGCAGATCGGTGCAGGCATACTGTGAACCAAAAATTATAACCAACCAAAAAAACTATACAATACAATACAAGACGACATGGAAAAATATGAGCAACAATTAAAACAAACAAACAAACAAATAAATTTAGCAAAAAAAAAAAAAACAATTAAAACAAATAGATATACTGGCTTATCATTTTAATCATCCCAAATCTATAATACAAACGTAATATATATATAGTGTAAATGTTAAGATGAAACAAAAAAAAAAACATAATATACTCAAATAAGATTAGCAACAAATTAAGATGAATAAAAAAATTACAACAAATCACAAATACAAAGCTTCCAAAGTCCAGGGGCAAGTACATTTTGGACAATACATACTTACCTCACTTTTATACTACTATACGATAGATTTTTGGAGCAACAATAACATTAAACATTTCAAGCTGAACATCTTTTAGTAAGCGTGACTCTAAGCCCATTATTCATCTGAAGAACAAGACTAGGCTTTGGCTCAATTTTCTGTCCTTCAATGAGCTTAAGGTCATAGTTTTGTAATATTTCCACGACTATGGTCTTCATTGCAGTCATAGCTAAATGCTTACCAGGACAACTTCTTGGTCCCGAGTTAAACGTTAAGAACTTGGAGGAAGTCTCATGCCTCAACCCTCCAGTATCTGAAACCCATCTCTCTGGCTTAAATTCCAACGCGTCATCTCCCCATACAGGTCTCATCCTCCCTAAAACATAGAGAGGGATGAGAATCATAGAGTTCGCATCGACTTTGTGCCCACTTGGAAGTACGTCTGATTTTAAAGGAGCCTTGCGCTGGAACGGAACTGGTGGATAGAGTCTCAATGCTTCATACAACGCCCCGTGTAGATACACCAACTTGTTCAAATACGCTCTACGCTCTAGAACCGACCATGAACTTTCTTGACCGTCTTTTGGTAGATTTGTGTTGATCTCTTGGCGAATTTTGGCTTCCACGTGAGGGTTTTTTAAGAGGAGACCGAAAAACCAAGTGAGAGCAGTGGTAGTTGTATCCCTCCCCGCGACAATGATAGATAAAATGGCATCTCTAAGGAACTTATCATCGTTTGGTTTCAAGAGCTTGTACTTGCTTGTATCTAGCTTTATGTGAGCTGTTAAAAGATCTTCACTCTCTCCATTTCTTTGTAATCTTATCTCTTCTCTCTTTTCAATTATATATTTCGCGCAGATTCTATCAAAAGTTGCACCTGCTTCTATCAACTTCTTCTCTTGTCCCAACCTCATCCGCTTTTGCAACTTCCACAAGAACTTTGGTAAGATATGCCTAAATAAAATGGCATCCCCGGCACTATCGAAGGCTTTTGCGAGCTGAACCAATGGCATTTCAGTGGAGAGACATTGAGGATCAGACCCGGTGATTGTAACTAGGGTTGTATCGAACATGAATCTCCCGAACACATCTTGCAAGTCCACCACTGTCCCTTCCTCCGCATAGTGATTGAAAAGAGGAAGAAGCACGTCCTTGAGTTTACTTGTTGTGACACTCATTGAAAAGTTTTGAAAACCTTGATGATTGAGCATCCCCTGGAAAGACAATCTTTGATTCTTCCATAGCTCTGAATCAGTGTTGAATATCGCGTCTCCGAAAAAATCGAATATCTCTTTGAACTCAGGTCCTTTGATGTAGTTGGAGAAATTTGAGGTTAATATATGATGTATATTAGATGGATCAACCGTGATCAAGGCATCCATTCTAGTGAACCATGGACCCTTGAATAGAAATGTCAAGTTGTTCTTCTCAATGAACCACATGACGTCATCGAACCCATTGTGCCAGACAAGCAAAGCTGGAAGCATCCCAAGAACAGGCCAGTTCCATGCATAGCATTGAAGGGCTTTCTTGATGAGCAAGTAACCAGACTGTTTCTTAATTAACAAGTAATAGAATATGAGAAAACAAAAAAGAGATAGGGATGCTTCGAATAAGCCGATAGAATCCATTAGGGAATTTTGAGAGAGGATAGAGGAGAAGAAAGAACTTGTATTAATATACGCATGATGAAGTTTAATGTCTGAATACGTTTAACCATTTTTATAAAAAACAATAAGTCGATTTCGTACCAGACATAACTGAACGTGCCAATCTTTAGAAAGATAACTAGATAATATGACAGGAAAGATCGAATTAACAAGGATTACAAGTTTGAGACTTAAAAAGAAAGACTTCTCAAGTCTCATCGAACATAACCCCTTCAGGTTGAAGATATTTCTGGAAACAGCTTGTCTGTATGTATATAACAATCATCGTAAGGAGCTGAATTGTGGAGTTATCTAACCTATACATGTGCACACATCACATTGATAGCATCCACGGACCACGCAATAAGTATCGAATTTTTATTGATGAATAAGTAGTTTTTTTTTTTTTTTTTTTTTTTTTTTTTGAAACACTAATGAATAAGTAGTTAAATGAGAGTTTCTTCATGATAAAGTAACTTGGATGAAGAGTTTTCTTGCAAAGAAAGTAACACCAGGCAATGATGTCTTGATGAGGAGCTAGCAAAAGTGAGCTGTTTTCTAGGTGCTTTGTTGAAATGACCATATATTTAGGCGTGAAAGTTGTATATTTTCGAATCCATATTTTAAAAATTATTTGATGAATACAAGCGTATACACGATGGTTTTTGTTTTAATAAGCATCTTTAACCATTAAGATATATGGCATGGTATTGCTTAAACTTAATATTATAAATTCAAATACTGTTAAAAATAAGATATAGAAAATATTTTAGTTAAAATTCAAAAACATAGTAGATAATTAAAAACTTTTGTAGAATTTATGATATTATTATCTAGTACTTTTTTGGATGACTATTCATTTTTTATAATTTGTGTCGAAGTCAAGACGTAACAAACGTTCCCCAAAAATTTGCAGTTGTGGAGGTATGTATTAGATTCACTACTATGTTTCTAGTTGATATGTTATATGCATTAGTTTCTGAATTTATGAGATGACTTTCGAATTATTTGGTATCCTGCTATATCTAGAAAAATAATTTTAGTAACTTTAATAAGTACTAGATTTTGACCCGCCCTTAAAGAGGGCGGGTCAACCGTTTTTGCTTTAAATTTATACCCTTGTTCGATTATTCACAAGTATGTATAGGCATGAGTATCCGGGTTCAGATCGATTGTCGTTAATAATTTGGTTTGGTCCGACATATATATATTAAATAAAATTACGTACAATTTAATGTGTGGTGTAGGATTTATTTTTTTATTCGTTTTAGTTAAATAACGAATTATAGGGACCCGATAAAGTTATGAGTTCTATTCGGTAATCTAAAGTATTGATTTATAAAAACTGAAATAAGATAATTAATTTTTAATAATTTCATATTGGTTAAAATTGATTTTTTAAATAAAAATTATTTTTAGATATATTTTACCAATTCGTTTTTGAATCATTCCTAGACAGAGACCCGTTTCTTGTTGATAAAATTATTAACTCGTTTGTTAGATGACAATAGAAATAAAAAATGTATTTGTGAGATCCA